ACCTTTTTTTGGGAGAAAGGCCGACAAGCGGGCGGGTGCGGGTGGGGAGATTGGAAAGGGGAGCCTGCCACTGGCAAAGCACAGGAAAGGGAAATCTGGCACCTTAGAGGCAAAGCTGCTGGCTTCCCTCCTAGCCGCAAGCGAAAGGCAGGGTGGCCTCCACCCATGTCTGTGCCTTCCAGTGTCTGCCCAGGAAACCACCCAGGTAACCTCAGAGCGGTCGGGTACTTCTACAAACAGATGCAGAGGATCTGGAAAGGTACTGCTGCCACCTGCTGTGCCATTTTGCTTTTAAATACACAAACCCAAGCCCTGAGTAATGTCTAAAGCTCATGTTTTCCCATTGGATTTACTTACTAGGGTTTAGAAAAAGATTAATTGCTCTGCAGGCGTTAACCTCATTTCACGGTGCTGATCCTGCATGCTGTACGAACCACCCAGAAGTAGTTCACAAGGCATGGTGAAGACCACAGCACCTACCCGGCCCAGGAGAGCGCAGCAAATTGCTTCCTTCCTCCTGCTTGTGGCTGTCAGTGTCAGCTGGCATTGACAGTACGGACTTCCACCGCTCGTGTTTGCCTGTGGTGTAGTGCACGTGACAGAGAAGGTAAGGAAGGAGATCTGCATTAGGGATCCTACACCCTGTGGCCTCACCCCCAAATAAAATTAAACATTTAACTTGCTGGTCTTTTGATTATTTTGAAACCCAAAGTTATTTAACATTTCCCCAGATTAATTTTTCAAACTTACAGGTCCATGAAAAAGCTTTTCACTCTACCTTAGAAGGCAGTTTGTTTAAAAGTGCCCAAGTTGTGTGTGCAAAGTCCAAATCCCACTTTCAGACCAACTCTCTGTAAGATTGCTTCTATTCTGAAAAGTGATTGAAAAAGTGGCACCTTTTTTGCTGAAGTGACCACTTTTCCATGATTTCTTGATCAGAGAGTGATCAAAGTACTTGAGGCTCCTCTGCCTACCATATTTAAACACTGTGGCATGAGCAAAGAAGAACAAAGTGGATGACAGCTGCTCAACACTGCAGATTATTAACGCTCTTGTTGAAATGACTCAGCTGCATCTCTGAAAAAGTGAAAACACGATGGAGTTAATATTTTGCAGGGACTTGTGCTGTGAAAGGTTCTCAGTGGTTTGATCTGTGACTGATATTATGAGTATGCACCTTTTACTGTTGACCATTTCTAAAGAACAGAGTGAATGTAAAGTATGTAAAGGGTGGACTTGGAGTACTTGCACACTTCATGGTAATTGCTAAACAGAAATTGACATAACATTTAATTGGAATTGATGTCAGATTAATTGTGGCCTGGAGTAGAAGGCAATGACTGTCCGACTGCACAGAGTTCGAGGACTGTCTCAGAGCTTGGCTCTCTGAGGATTGCCAACTGTTAGTACTATAATGATGTTATTTATATAATTCAGGCATGTAACAAAGGGTGATTACAATGTAAAGGAATAAATGTTCTGCCAGTTACATGAACACTGCCTGAATAAATTATTGGTGACATAAAGCTGTACACTTCAGAAAATAAACATACACAAGTCCTATGTCTTGGCATTGATCTGGATGACAGGAACACTAATGTACAGCTGGTTAGATCACTTTATCCAAAGCACAGGAGAGGTTTGATTTTGCTTCAATGCTGTAGCATCCCTAGGAAGCACACACAAGGCACCTGGAACCCGCTGCTTCAAACCTCCCAAGGAATAAGCACTGAAGTATTTTCACAGCAGCTCTGTTCCACCACAGGCTGACATGGAAGCTAGACACCTATGATAGTTCTCCTCTCTTGCTAAAACACGTGTGTAAGGAGCAGCGGGAGATGCAGAGAAGTTTTCTTAACTGCAAAGCAGCCTGCAATTGCTAGCGAACCTTGGCTCTTCCATCCAGATCCCTAGGTTTCAAGAACGAGGCCAAGTTCAGCATGTGTTACAACAGTTGATATGCATTTACTATTAGATGTGTAAAATACCAAAATGAGGCTGCAACCTACACAACTTGTAGGATGAACAAGCAAAAAGAACAAAAGAATGATTAAATGTGGAACAATATTGAAACAGCTATTAAAGTACTCAATTTGTAACCACCTCATCAGTAGCAAGGTGATAAGGAGCAACCATTGTGAGTCTGCCAAAGTCAAATTGAGTCAAACTAATTTAGCTGCTTTCTTTGGCAGCGTCCCTGGGCTATGGAGCAGTTCGCAAACTGGTAGCAGCAAATGTAGCTTTAGGGACTGGTGGGGGACATGTTACCAGAAAGCTGCAGTGACTACAAGTAGGTAGTGGCAGCCGTGACGAGGGTAGAGATTTGGAGCATCACTGAGAGGGCTTCAACCAGGCGACACAGACAGCAAGAGCAGACTGAATCTGGCTGTTGGCAGCCACCCTCTTGGGTCACCACTTCTGGTTTCTCTTGCCCGAAGTCTGGAGTGTGGAATGCTCGCAAGTAGCTGCATAGAGTGCTGTGACCAATTTGAAGCACAGCATGTTAAGAAAGTTGCTGCTAAATGAATGTTTTAATGTTGAGAAAAATGTAAAGAAAGATTAAAATATACCAGGTACGTTCAGCCTAGGGATGAGAGAGTTGATGAGGACAGTCTTCAGATACGTAATAGACTGGCATAAAAAGGATGATGATGAGTTAATCTCCGTGTAGTTGGCTTGGTCCTTTTAGGTTAATTTAGTGTGTTTGGGGAATAACTAGAATAACAGCGAAATGCTACAGGAAGCAGCTTAAGCTGTGGAATCTGCCATATGGGAGGCTTCTGAAGGACAGACGGACAAACACCAGTTAAGAAAGGTCTCCAGGCATACTTGATGTGCTTGAGAAAATGGGAAACTGAATAAATGGCTTCTACAGTTTCCTTACAATCATGTGTTTGATTCTACAGTTAGTTAGCATGAGTAACACTTAAGCTTGCATGAAGTCACTACATTTTTTTTAAGTAAGTTAAACTTACAGGAAGGAAAAATAATTAAAACAAACCATGTAGATTTGCAACTTAAATTTGGTAAAATAATTCAAGTAACTTGATCTTTACATGTTATCATTACTATTCCACGTTGTCAACATCACCAAAACCAGCTCAACAAACGTAACTGCTATTTCCATACTTTTTCTGAAGAGAAGCGACATTACCAATTAACTAACATCAAAACAATTTGATTGATTGCTAGTGATTTTATATTACAATTTAGACTAAGTTCTATTTGCATATTAAAGGGAACCAAAAGAAAACATATACTAAAAACAAATAAACAAACCCAAACCCCTAAAATTACTAATGACAATGTATACTCACTTTCAAAAATCCTGGTATTTTATGACTGACTTACTGAACATTGTAATTCCAAACCAAAGTATTTTATTTCCATTTGTCATCAAAATACCTATTTGTTTTCAGATTATAGGAAAACCTCACAGAGGAAAGGAAGATGAAAAACTGTGCATATGACTTATTTTACAATTAGTGTACAGATGCTTATGGGGTTCTGGAGGCAATTTACTAGAGTCATAGATATAAAAACATAGAATCATCTTTATTTATGGGGTGTGCATTTGTTCAGATCAGGTTTCTTGGGATACAGCCTTCTATTTGGATTTCAGCTGGCCAGCCACCGTATCTGTTGTTCTTGTCAGAGTGGTTTATCTGTTAGGAAAAAAAAAAAAATCAATATTTGGTTCTCTATTTACAAAATAGTTGGTCAAACCTCATACAACAGAAGGGGGTAACGGGGTAGGACCAGGAAGCTAAGTAGCACGTTGTACATCTTGCTTTATATAATGGGTGAAGATTCCACCAGTTTCTCTCTTGCACAGAGTGCTTTATTTATTTCCCAGAAGGCTGTCACTAAATTGAATACTTTCTTCCTGTAGAAGCTCTGTAATGTGAAGAAGATTGCAACAATATTCTGGGAAAAAAAAATATGGAAGTTTCACATGCCTTTGGAGGGAGTCAGTATCCAGGGAACTGACCTCTGTATTGGGTTTTCTCATTTCTGTCTGCCTTGCTGTCATCCAGACAAGCACTACTGGGGGTATAGAAAGCGAATACAACAAGGTGACAGATGCAAACAGAAATCTGATATAAAAATGGTATCTTTAGTCCTCCTGAAGCCTGAGGGCAAGTTATTCAGAAAAGTTCTGTGATGCAAGCATTGCTATATTTGCACGGCCAATTTGAGACAGCCTAATTTTCATATAAAAACAGTCTTTATTTTTAGGAAGTCCTTGGAATTTGTCCTTCCAGAAGAAAATGTAAGTCTCTGTACAGCATGTCAGGTTGGACATTTCAAAACTGAGACTCTCTAGAATCACTGGTCAGTTCTGAAATTTGTCTACAGCTGATTCAGTGCTGGTGTGGTAGAAGTCAGTACTGTACATGGCCCAGATCCAAAGCAAAGAATGATGACACCTTAGAGAACTTGCTTTGTATGACTGAGGCTTACTGAACAGACTACAGTTATAGCCAATCCAAGAAATCTGCACCTGAAGGTTATACCTGATATACAGACAAATACAAAGTGAAAATAAAATTAACCTGACCTTTTCTTTTTGGATATTATCTGGCAGCTTGAAGCCTTTGGCAGCTATAAAAGCCCAACTTGACCTGAACTTCATATTCCGTATTTCTTTACTTCCCAGCCCTTCTACTAAATTTTTGGCATCATTTTTCAACCTGGGAAAAAAAAAGTGTTAAAAATTCAGGATGTGAAAAATGCTGAAAAAGAACACAGCTGATTCATGCTTTACATTAGTAGGTCAGCAAAAGCAACAACGAGAAGTTTAAAAAATCCTGAGAGCTGTCTTAGTAGCATGCCATTAAACTCACAGAGCAAAACTCTATTTCTTCTTTCTCTCTACATCCCTGATGTGAATACAACCTGCTTGTAACAGCATAGCAGAAAGAAAAATGTATCTCAAATACTATTTGATGTTTCAAACCTTCTTAAATAAGGACAAGGGCATTAAATGCTTATCAACCAAATGATTAAGTCCTTCCCTGTATAATTACCATATCACAAATTCAACTAAAAAACCATGAAGATTTGAAATCACTTGAAGAACTCAGGTTAAGATGTAGGAGGGAATGCAAACTAGATACATTATAACTGGAGGTGTGGATACTTTCTTAACAGAAGGTTGTGACCCAGAGCTAACAGCAATGTCCTTTATGAGGACAACTGGTGCTTTTAAAGAAATGTAACACTATCTATCCATCTTTGGAAGCATCAACATACCCCATACAGGCAAGCACTGAACGAATGTGGAATCAAAACCTTTTAGGCAGGAAACAAGAGGACAACCCTGACTATAGAGTGAAATTTACCATTCTTTTACACCATTATGCAATAGTGATTTTCAAGCTATCAATTGCTCTGTTCCTCAGCCTGTCATGAATAACTTGCTTACCGGGTGCTTCCATCATCATGAGTGACCATCAAAAGAAGGGACCCCTCTGGTGCATTTTTAATGAAAGTCACCATCTCTCCTGAGTGGTCTGTTGAATCAATTACACAACCAATAATTCATTACACACACATCACATTCCACCTACTTTCAACTTGTTTTCACTTTTTGGCCTTGTTTATTCAAAATGAGACCTAATTAGGCAATTTTTCTGTTTACAGGCAGAGGGCCTAATCTTGAAAGGTGCAGAAAGCTGCTAGCTGTCACTGAAGACGAGGAGAGCATGGATTGATCTGCATTTCCTGGTAGTAAACAAAGATACTTCTGACCTTCTACAAAAGCCATTTATGCCCAGGGTAAGTATATAGATGGTTTCTTATGTTTACCTCACATAATATTATACATGCAAGCAAAGCATGGAATAACCCAGAAGTCATTGCTATTCTGTGAGCTTCCTACTACCATGCTAACTGCAGAGCTGAGTTACACACCCCATTGTACACCCACTTTCATGAAGTGGCAGCCTATTTGCAGCACTAAGCTATTTATTGGTTTTGCAATTGCTAAACATACAGAAGACACTTGTTTTCCATACGAAAAAAATGTAAGAGGCACCCTGGAGACATTACAGTCTACATATCATATATAAAATTCTAGCCCCATGATTAGTCCCAATGTGATTTCTATTCACGCACGTAAGGTCACAAGCATTTTTAAGTGGTCAGAGAATCAGCTTCCAGTGCCGCATAGCATTCTGTTTCTCCTTACTAATAGGTGAGGAAACTGTCATCGTTCAAAGTTTAGAAAACATGTTAAAAGCTATTCTTAAAGTAGACCATCTTTCTAGCTACATGGAAGGATGTTAAGAGACAGACTAGCATATTTCCTACGATGATTTTACAGCTAAAATAGAATAAAATGTGTCAGGAAAAGGAATTTTGCTGAAGTATCTGGATGTGGTACCTGGTTAAGTGCTATTCCTACCAGACTGAAATAATGGAGGAAAAAAACCCCAAACAATTAAAAAATGGCAATTTGACAATTAAAAAAAAAAGGCAAGACAATTTAAAAAAAAAAGACAATTAACTATCTCAACCAACAGGAGAAATACAGCTTTTCAGGCAAAATTTGTCATCAGATCTGGCCAGAGCATGTTTTATGAAGACAACAGCTATTTGTTTCTAGCTGATCCCTGTCAATAATGCAATCATAGTAATTTGAAAGAGCAGGATAATTATATAAGTCCTTTCTTAATGCTGAAACACTAACAAAAGCTCTGTTGCACTCCTTTCCCTACCTCCTTCCCACATGTCAAAAAATTTTGCCGATGTAACTTTTCCTGTTTTATCTGTAATTAAAAAAAAAAAGTTGTGTAAATATGAGCAAAAATTATTAAATTCAATCAGCATATACAGTGTTTTCAGCTAAAGCTAGGCATCTCTAATTTTGTGTATTATTGGGCTTCTGAGTTTTCTTTTGTTTAAGTTTTTAAATTGGAAGGAATATGGAATAATGTAAGTTTAAGATTTAGGGAGAATATGTGGGTTCATGTAGTCTCTGAATCATTTATATTATATTATATTATATTATATTATATTGCTTATATTACTTTTCATTTTAAAGAAGAAATTCAGTTTACTGTGTGCGTCCATGTTTTATATCTATATATACACTACACTAGGTCACAACCATAAATAGGAGAATAGGTTAAGACTAAGACTATTTGAATGAGCTTAATACAATTCTGTGCAGTATTTCAGATGTGCAAGCTTTCATACCATTTGAATCTCAGTGGACAGAAACTCAACACTCATCATTACTGTATCGGAAACTGGGCATGCAAACAGGTAGTAATTCCAGAACATTTTGGTCCATATTCATCATTAATTATGCTGCTGTTTTGATGGCTATCTTTGTTTAAACAAGACAGGTACAATTGGAAATACTTTTCGAATTTCTAAATCCATGCCAACTGAGTTAATTGTTTTTTGTTATCCAAGACCCTGCTTGGATCCCTGCTACATGAGAGGATCTTTTCCATTCAGAGTGCATCAGCTCATTTCTAGTGAGAAGATCCAGCAGTTCCTGATTCCTGGCTTATCTTTGATCCATATGTGGTAAAATCATGAAGGCAAATTCTTCTGAATATAGGACTCTAAATGGCAGGTTTATCGTACTGATGAGGGGAAAAGGTGGCAAAAATCTGTCAGTGGTAAAACAGCATTCTAGAACTGGGCTTCTGAGTAGGGAGCACAAAAAAATGGAAAAGGCTGTAGTGAGGGCAGCAGAAATCCACAACTCTGTCTCTCTCACTCTGTGTTTTTAGCTTGGGCTTAATAGTTCTGTCATCCTTCTTACAAAAGACCATATTCATTCAGAGAAGAAGGAGTTATCATGGAATAAAATACAAGTCTGATGTCATAGGAAACTTATTGAGCACAGTCGTTAGCTTGACTGATCTAATCAGAGGACATGTAGAAAATATGTCTCACTACAAAGTGGTTCAAGATAATGGACATATTTACCTGCAGATGGAGAAGAAAGCGTAGCTAAAATGACTATATGTGTGATGAAGAAAATGGCTGTTTAAAAATGTGTAAAAATTGATATATCACTTCTTTTTCCTCACTAATGTCAGATGCAAAGACAATGCGAGTTCCCTGCTCCTATTTGCTATAAACTTGCTTATGCATTCAAGATGAATATTTGCCCTCTTACTCTACAGCTATATGCTGAAAACTCATTTTCAACTGTTTACCTATTATAACCAGTAAAGTTTTTATGATTCCTTATTGGAAAAAAAAATGCAGTAGTTAACTGGGAAAAAAAATTTTGGAACAGATTCTTGTCTATGGTAATTTAACCCAGTGACTTCAATAAAATCATGCAAGTTTAGACAAGGTTAAGATCTTGCTTAGCAATACTGAGACAAAAAAACTGGAACATGAATGTTTTGTGATCAAAGCCAACTTGACTGTGCATCTGAACTCCCTTTCTTCCCCTCCCCCACAACATTTAGGCATTCATTTTTCTCAGCATCTATTATTGAATACACTGCACTTCATCACCATTCCCACTCATCTAAATTAAAATGGTGCCTCCAGATCTGGAACAGACTGCACCTTCTGCTTTCCAATAGCTCCCACTATAAGCAAAGACATATAATGACAGTTTAATATTAATCAAGCTTTGAGTTTGTCTTTCTGTCCACTGACCAAGTCTGGAAAAGGAATTTATACCTCAGTTGTACCTTGGGGCAGAACTGCAATTCTCAGTTACTGCTTGCCCCTTATCAGTGGAGCATTAGATACCTTTTATCAAGGACTGAACCTGAAAGTTGAGTCTTACTGCTGGAGATCATGGATATTTTTGCTATGTTACATAAGAAGCAGTTCTTTTATCTAATAAAATACACATATATCGCTGCTATGTACACATTTTCCTTTTTCTTATACTGATTATGAATGCATTTCTTTTGTTTATCCAGGAGACTATTTGTCTCAAACACAGATTTGTTTTTCTTACATTTAACATGAATCAAGGGTGCAATTTTTGCCGTTCCCTTTCCTTCCATACTAGCTAGTAAGAAAAACCCAAACTCAACCAAAAAAAACCCCAACTCCCACCAAGAACCTTTGTAAATTATTGCAGTACAAAGGTATGTGTCTCTCTAACATTTTTTCTGTTACTTACAATTCACAATGGCAATGTTTATACCTCTTCCAACATTACCCTTCTCTTCGCTTACAAGCCTGGAATTGAAATAAATACCTTATAAGTAGAATGCATCCATTCAGAAGCTCTGATCCAAAGTTATAGGTACCAATGCTAAGTCAGTTTCTGACGTTCATGTTTTCTTCAGTTATTTAATTCAAGACTTTGTAGTAAACAAGAGCTATGGCTGAAAAATCTTGCACATTATATCAATAAATTTCCTTCAGCGATGCACAATCAGTCTTTCAAAATGAGCCAGATCAAGAAAGTACTTCGTACAAATGCAGCCAGAAAGATAAAGTAGAAAAAAAAAAAAACAAGATAAAATGTGGTTTTGTGGCAGTATTCTGTGTGTGTGGTATCTACACAAAAGATCATTGCAAGGTTTTAAAGTCACTCTACCTGTCCAATTTGAAAAGCCATGAAAGAACTGGACTTTCAGAAGGTGTTGACCATTCAATATACTGTAAACTGGCTATCTGGCACCATGAAATTTAAAATCATACTTGAAACTAACAGTTGAATGCTGCTTATGTAGAGGAAAAATGAAAATAAACTGAGATTAGGTATTTAAAAAAAAAGGGCGGGGGAGGAAGAGTTACATACTGCCAGATATATTCTGAAGTTTATCACCAGAATAGGAACCCCCTGGTAGGAGCTTACTTGCTGCTAGTGAACCAAAATGAAACACCCTTCTTCACACTACAAAGCACTTGCTTAGATTTAAATTTAGACTAGTACTCACAGCTCATCCTCAAAACAAATTTTAGCCAGCTTTCCTTTGCCACCACCACTAAGAATCCGATAGGCATAGTTCCCAGGTGAGCAGGGAGACCAGTGATCACACTTCTGCCTTTTTGGGACTGGGGCTACAACAACAAAGATGAGAAAACCTTTTCTTGGATGCTGCATAAACAATTTCTACATGGAAAGAATCACTTAATGTCAACATGCTAAGCTCAGACATATATACACAGGAGCCAATCCTGCCAATTTTCCAGTATCATGGCAACATTATCACAGATTTGCCTGGGCTTTAAGTTATCATTAACTTTCAAACAGCTGCTGGGACCAAGAGCAAGCTTATTTAGTGAAAAATGCCCCATGTAGTATGATCTGATTTGAATCTAGAATAATTATTTTCTGCTATTTCATATAACAGGAAACAAGGGCTAGAGGGATGAAGGATTCCTATCAATAGCTTGAAGTTAATGGTTATCATTCTCATTTTAAGCCTTTTTCACAGGATAACATAGTCATAGAACGAGAAGAATGTACACATTAAGCCACCCAGTCAGATTAGAGGAAAGAAATAATGAGAATTTAATCACAAAGTTTGGTTAGTGATTCAACAGTTTACCATAACTGTAAAATATATCTAATAGAACCAAAGCTGCAGCTGCAGCTTTGTGCTTATATGCCAGCAAACAAATAAGGTGTTCTTACATTACTATTCAATTAATTATATTTGCATACTGGCAAATATAGGCTGACATTGTGTTTCTTCAAAGACGGTGTCTAAGAAATAGTTCAGACTTGCACTAATTAATTAACTTACCACAGCTTACTTCATTCTTACAATAGCACATACCAAATCATTTATTAGCTAACAAGCCATTTGTCATTTACCATGTAAATACACAATATTAAATATAGTATAAGGAAAAAAAAAAAAGAGAAATACAACTACACACCCCTCAATGCTGGTTTCTTTCCAATGTCTCGAAGATTAGCCATAGATGCTGTTATTGCCTCTTTGGGTACAAGCGCAGAGAGAAAGCATCCCAAGTACCAAGCAGCCAACGATGTCAACAGGAGCCCTGCTAACTTCACAAGATCTGCCAAGGGGAAAAAAAAAAAAAAAAAAAGACAGACAACTACAGAGATTTAAAGGTGTTTTCACAGCAACACACAAAATCTTGTATTTTCTCTGGCATTGCTACACAAACTGGCTATTTTATTTCTGATATACTGTGTTAACCACAGCCTTCAGAGATGCAGCAATAGAGTATTTGTTGCATTCCCATCTCTGACAACCCCCTTCATTTCTAAACCTTGATCTTCAAGCAGAAAACTCCCTCCCCAAGACTTCCCTCCATCCACACCCATAATACCCCAAAGAAACATAAAGTTCAACTTAATCCTAGTAGGATTTTGACTCTGGAAAGTAAGTACCAGATACTACAGTTGACTATACAGGTAGTATGCAGTTACTACTGATTTTTTGTGATAGGCAGACACTACAGGCATGATTTAAAACGCTGACCATATGGGGAACTCCCTCCATTCACTCATTTGACACGCTGGGTGAAAATAACTGAAGAAGGCCCAAACAATCTCATTCACACAATGAGCTCTGACTGCATTCAAACATGACTAGAGTGACTGTTTCACCTTCTCTCAGTTATATCGCAGTTTCCATGGACTGTATGATGAGCGCATCTACACACTATGAAAACAACAGGATTCACAATTTTCCTGACTATGAAGAAATATAAATCAATTGCATATTGGATATCTCCTCTTCCTCCTCATCAGAAATGCTAACATGCATTCCTGAACTAGAAGAAATGCACCACCTAATTTATGATGCTAAACAAGGAAATATCACACTGCAATTTTGAAACACTGATGTTTTGATGTCTGGAGATACTTCCTGATCTGTAAAGAAACATGTCCTTGAACATAACAGTCCATTAAAGTGGAAAAGGAAAATTTTTTGCTTCACAGTCCTGAAAATCAAGTGCAACAGAACCAATGTCCAAAAATATCCAGTATGTTCACTTTGCCAACCTGCTAGAAAATATTGTGTATTATCTAGCCTAAATCTTCCTTATAACAGTTTACACTCAAGAAGATATTCCTTTCCTTCATGGAACGGCCTTTTATAAATGTTAAGATTTCTGCCCTACCCGTTCTCTACAATAAGGCTGAATTGTTCACTTGTTCTCCTCAAGTCACGTTTTGCAGGTCCTACCAGTCTCCCATGAATTCTGCCCAATTGGTCTGTGTCTTTTACTGCAGAACAGACACACTAGTCTAACACGCACAGTCTGGAGGCTCTAATTCCAGTTATTCATGCGAGAGGGAAGTTTGACTTTTTTTCTTAAGAGTAGACTTCATTAACTCAGGTTCCATTTATAATCCACTATAAAGACCAGATCTTTTTTCTTGTAAAGATTTTGCCTCTCTAGCTACTCCCTATCCCATATTTGTGCATGTAGTTATTCCTGTATTCTACCTAGCTTTAAAAACAAAAAGCCTAACAAAACACTGCAAAAAACGCAGACTGGCAAAGCTAACACCGCACAGTACTATCACCCGAACTCCCTCTTCTTTATAATAGCAACAGAAGTAGCACGTGGCCCTCTCTGACCCAGTCATCCTTAACAACTGAAGCAGAGCTGTACTCCAGCCCTTGAACGTCAGTGAGGAAGAATGCAGATGATTGTTATGAACATTGAAGGTTCTTCTGCAAATAATCTCAGTTCCTCATTTCCTGGAGCAGAAAAAAGGGGGGGGGGGGGGGAGAAAAAAAGAGAGGACTGGAAACCCTTTTAAGATACTGATCTGAGCTCTTAAAATGTTCTGTGTCATTGTATTTAGGAGTCATAAGTGTGTGCGTTTGTGTGACTGTAAGGAAGATACTGTGAGAAACTTACTATATTTTCATCAAAGGATTAAGATTGAGAAAGTAATATAATGAATCTTCAGAGATATAACAAATTTTCCAATTATTACCTCAGCCTAAGAGAAATCTGTCTCACTCTACCACTAGTAGTGGTGCAAACTTGCACTAAAATAATATTGAACATTACTCCAACATTTAATTCATATAGTGAATGTGAACACGGACAAAGTTCACACACACAAAGAAGGAAGCTGCAGGAACCGTGTAGAATAAAACTTACTTTTTCTCTTTTTGGATATTAAAAAAATATCAGATTTATACACAAAATATATTTAATTTGTAAAGGAGACCAAATCACAAGTTTCAAAGACAAAACCCAGGAAGAATTAAGTGAAAACTACAACAAGTTTATTTAAAGTCTTCAGTGATTATTTTTTCAGGGGGGTGGGGTGTATTGTAAAGATCTATGAGACCATCAGTCAGGTTTTGTTTTGCTTTTTCTGTTGTGGGCTTAGCAGGTTTATCTTTACAATGATTTTGCACTGGTTTTCATCAAAACTATGGAGCAACTCTGTTGCAAAATAGGCTCAACAGCACAGCATTTTGCCTAAGTAGAAGAGAAAGTACAGGATGTCTAACTTTGGTTATTATATTCCATATTTTACTTAAACTGCAAGCTTCTTAAACGGTTCTAAAATATGCCTTTTAAGGTTTAAGGAATACATTTACCAACTCTTCTGCACAGTTTCTACTTAGTTCTCAAAATTGTCAGAAAACTTTTTCACTGTCAATCAACTTCTCGTTCTGCTTTCTTGGATTCAGAAGGCACCGGGGGACCGCATCGAAGCTATCTGCTGGGTCTACCTGGATTGCTTAGGTTTACTGAGGTTACATATCCTGCACATGTGTACTCTTTTTTTTTTGAGTACCTGCATAGACATGCATAAAACCCTACACAATAGCAGCTAAGCCATAAGCTCAGACAAACTTAAGATTGTTAGGAGAGCTTAAGATTTGTTAGGAGAGCTTAAGATTTACTATCCACAGCAGTTAGGAGTTATAAAATGCAAAGTCTGGTCTACATTCACGAAAGCCAGACTGCGCTTTTGCTGATTTTAGAGGCTGTGGCTCCTCAGCACGCTACCGGGCTCAGCACTGAGGAGCGGTATGGGGTCGGTGTGCCGCAGAGGGGCTTGCTGTGCTCAGACAGGTGGCACAAACCTCCCTCGCTCCATTTCTGCCACGGAGAGGTACTCAGCCAGAGATACTCAGCAATGCTCATGGTGCCAGCCAGGGAAGAGGGCCGAGAGGAGCAGAAGAAACTGTGTGGACAGTGCGGATGGCGGCGTGGTAGGGCACGTAAGACGGCAAAGCAGAAGGAAAAGAAGACGATTAGCAGTCCCACCTTACAGCAACTCCAAATTTCCTTTCTCCCTCAGGTGCTCGCTTGCCCCTTGGCAGCAACTAAAGCACTAAATGCAGGCACAATATTATTTTTTTTTGTGCTTAGCTGACTTAAAATCCCCACGCTGCCACACCTTGCTAATACACACCCACCCGTACGCAGCAGGACTTTAACAGAATTGATTTAAGACTCGAGCTTAAATTATTCCAATCTAAAAAGCTGAGTGTCCGTCCGTTTTCAGACGTTGGCTAGGGGCCCAGCCGGGAGGCCCGGCATCGGCCCCTATTATTTTTTTTTGTGCTTAGCTGACTTAAAATCCCCACGCTGCCACACCTTGCTAATACACACCCACCCGTACGCAGCAGGACTTTAACAGAATTGATTTAAGACTCGAGCTTAAATTATTCCAATCTAAAAAGCTGAGTGTCCGTCCGTTTTCAGACGTTGGCTAGGGGCCCAGCCGGGAGGCCCGGCATCGGCCCCTCCGCCCCGGCCGGGGCTCGGGCCCCGCTCGCCTCAGGGGACGCCGT